AAGAATTTTTATTTTATTTTTTTTATTTCTTAAAATTTTTATTTACTTCGAGAGTGAGCACCTGTGTGCAAGCAAGTGGAAGAGGGGCACGGAGACAGGAAAGAAAGTCGGGCGCTTAACAGGATGAAGCCACCCAGGCACCCCTTGTAAAGAATTTTTTTAAATGCGCACAAAATACTGCACAGATACATTTCGCCATACACCAGACAGCTGTCCCTTAAGGCTGATGGTAAAGCAAGTGCCAGGTGTGTCTGGAGGCTCTCCTGAGTTAGAAATTCATTTCAATAGATACAACGTCATACCCCCAACTGTACTTTACAATGACAACAGAATGCTACAAACTTTTCCTGCTCCTTCTTTAATACAGTTTTAAAACCACTGTACAGGAGTCATAAAAATAGCCAGGCCTTGTCTTATATTTTACAATAGTCAGCCATTGACTCATTCATTGGTTCATTCACTGCTCCTACAAATAAATTCAGAAGCTGGAGAAATGGGTCCTGGAGCCAGAAATCATTTATGGTCTTTGTTTCTAGACCTGCACGAGAAGGAAACATTTCTCACAGTGTGTTTTCTCTCTATCCCAAGGAGAACACCTCCTTGTGAAAACATAAACTTCTTCCTTTTCATTTTTTTTAAAGTAGGCTTCATGCCTAACATGGGGCTTGAACTCACGGCCCTGAGATCAAGAGTTGTACGCTCTGCCCAGGGAACCAGCCAGGCATCCCGAAAAGCATAAACGTTTATCTGTTTATATCAAGGGCTTAAACTCAATTTAAATAAATACTTGCTGAGAAGGTACAGTGTCCATGATACTGTCACAGCAACAGGACACAATTCCTATCCTCAGGGGTAATTTTTAGCTGATGAGGTAAGGAACTTTCCACGGAGAAGAAATTCAAGGCAGAACAGGAAAAGTCTCAAGGTACAACATTTCAACTGAGGATTAATGCTTTTAATGTGTTCATTGCCCTTCTGATGTGATCGGTTTACTTTTACACGTGAAGGGCTCTGGGACTAATGGGAAGAAAATTATTTTAAGTATTTAATTTCATTTATAAACGAGATATTATTTCTGTACAGTAGACTCTTAATCTGTGTGCACAGAGAAGGGGAACAGGTCTGGGGCGGTGGAGGGAGGGGACTCTCAATATGCTTCATTTTGTGGAAACAGGACTGTAGTCTGTGTTACTTGATATACTTATTTATTTATTTGTTTTTAATGTTTACTTATTTTTGAGAAACAGAGACAGAGCATGAGCAGGGGAGGGGCAGAGAGAGAGGGAGACACAGAATCTGAAGCAGGCTCCAGGCTCTGAGCTGTCAGCACAGAGCCCGATGGGGGCTCAAACCCACAGAATGATAGATCATGACCTGAGCTGAAGTTGGACGCCTAACTGACTGAGCCACCCAGGCGCCCCTGAGACTTTTAAAGTAATATATTTTTTAATCTATCAAAAATTTAAGAACACATATCCTTTGACTCACTATTCTCATGTCAGGACTTGGACCTGCAGATATAAACTCAAACAGAAGCCAAGAATATGGACAGTCACTTGACTCTCTTCTTCCCTCCCTCCCTTCCTTATTCCTTCCTTCCTTCCTCCCTTTCTTCCCTTCCTCCCTCCCTCCCTTTCTTTCCTCCCCCCTCCCTTCCTTATTTCTTCCTTCCTTCCTCCCTTCCTCTCTTTCTTTCTTTTGTAACAGCAATTAGAAAAATAGGTGACTGATTACATAAATGACGGTAGATCCATATGATGGTATACTATGCATAAATTGCAAAGGATGGGGGCTTCATACATGCTGATGTCCAAAGATCCCTAGGATATATCATTAAATCGAAAAAGCACAAAGCCGTGTCTGTAATATATGTAATGTTTTTAAAAGGAGTCTATCGGCAGAAATATGGAGATAACGCGAAATGTTTTTCTGGAAGAAATCAAAAGAAACTGTTCACAGGCTGAGGGAAAGGGGTGGAGGGTGGCCTACAGGGAGTGAGATTTCAATGTTCACTTTCTGTGCAGTTTAAAAAAATATCTTAATCTTAGACATGCATTTTTTATTTTATTTTCATTTTTAAACATTTATTATTTTATGTTTTTAAGTTGTTAACATGGGTAATCTGGACAAAGAGATCATCAGATTTTCCCCCCTTTTCTTCTCTGTAATTAAAAAATAGTCTAGGGGGTGCCTGGTGGCTCAGTCAGTTAAGGGTCCGGCTCTTGATTTCAGCTTAGGCTGTGATCTCATGGGCTGTGAGTTCGAGCCCTGCGTCTGCCTCCTCAATGAGTGAGTGTGGAGCCAGCTTAGGATTTCCTCTCTCCCTGTCCCTCCCATGCTCTCTCTCTCTGGCCCTCCCATGCACGCATGAGCGTGCTCTCTCTCTCTCAAAACAAATAAATAAACATTTAAAAAAACCAGTGTAACAGATGCCGAATTAAAGACACAAAAACCAAAACACAACAATAATTGAAAAAAAAAATCCCAGGAATTATGCTCCTGGCTGTGTGGCAGACAAGGAAGCCTAAATTACTGTCCTGGTGATAAACAAGTGAAAAGCCAGACAAACTATAAAAAACAATTGTTTTAAAGGTGTCACTGAACTGGTAAATTAAGAAATGAGGCTGAAACAACATTTAAATAAGAGCTAATGGATGGACCTTTATTAAAGAGCATGAAAGATATTCTAAAATGTGTATCTCAGATAAAGGGGAAATATTTCAGATGTTAAGGTCAGAGACATAAAAAGGAAGAGGGGGCGCGCCTGGCTGGCTCAGTTGGTTAAGCATCCAACTTCGGCTCAGGTCACGATCTCATGGTCCGTAGGTTCGAGCCCCACGTTGGGCTCTGTGCTGACAGCCCATAGCTGGGAGCCTGTTTCAGATTCTGTGTCTCCCTCTCTCTCTGCCCCTTGCCCACTCATGCTCTGTCTCTCTCTCTTTCTCTCAAAAATAAACATTAAAAAAATTTTTTTTTAAAAGTAAGAGTGAGAAAAGCTATCAGTAAGTATATACCTTCAGTGCAATTCCATTAAACTCCCAAGAGATATTTTTATGGAATGTGACGGGCTGCATCTGAAATTCATATGGAAGGACGAAGACCCATCACAGCCAAGCTATTCCTAAAGAAAAAGAACAAAGTAGGACCACCCTTACCAGGCAGTAAGACTTGTAAAATTAAAATTTTTAAAAAAGCCAATAAATAACTAGCACAGCACAAGGCAAACAGACCAACGGACAGAATAAAGATCCTATGAACAGGCCCTGTGGACATGCATGGAAACGTGACATTGATGGAGGGGCAACTAAAGATCAACAAGGAGATGCAGGGACATGTCCACTGAGGGCACTGAGGCACTAAATGCAACAGCCATAAAGGGAAAATTATTAAAATTTACGGCATTAAGTTCAGAGTTTCTGCTTGTCAAAAGAACCCATAAAAATCAGAGAAACAGAACTGGGAAAAAAAATACTTGCAATACATGTAGCTGGAAATGGATTAGCATCCAGAATATTTTCAAAGTTCCTACAATCAATAGAAGACAACCCAGAAATGCATGAAGGACGCAGACAGGGAGCGACTGGAAGAGCACACACATCGGCCCCCTAACCACATTGATAACATGTTAAGCTTAAGTGAGCAGTGTCTCTCAGTTTCGTCCGTACCCTACACACTGACCCATTACATGGCCAACGCGGACAGGATGGAGACGTGCGGCCGGCGGGGGGTGGGGGTGGGGGGCCTCACCTCTGTTGGCGCGAGCACACGTCACGGAGGCAGTCGGAAAACAAGCCGGGTGCTCTGCAGTGAGGGTGGACACGTGTACACCCTGCAGGGCAGGAGTCCCACTCTTAGGTACACACCCCACACACATGCCGGCACATGAATGTCAGCAAACACGTACCAGAACGCTCGCAGTGGGGCTCAGCATTGCACAAAAGGCTCCAACAACCACTGGTGGGGCTGCGGACACAGAAACTGCATTCTGCACCAGGAATCCCAGCCACGTGACGGAATACGGCACAACGGGAAACAGGACCACAACATTGCTCTGCACCAGTGTGGACGGGTCCCCAAAAACGCGGAGCAAGCAAAGCAGGAGGGAATACATGAACTATGGTTTTACGTACATAAAGCTCATCCACAAGAAAACCAAACAATACACACTGTTTCAAAACTATGTACAGAGGTGATATATTTGTGAAGAGAAGAAAAGGAATGATGCAAGTGGCAGGATAGGGGTTGGCTGGGGGAAGGGCAGGGCAGGGAGATGGTAAGACTGGGTAGGGGACCCTGGGTGCTCTAAGGGACTGGGGTACTCTATTTCTCAAATTGAGAAGGGGTACAGGCATGTTCACTTCATTCTTCGAATTGTATAAGACGTTATACAATATACATACATATACTGAATGTACATACAATATCACACACACACACACACACACACATATATATGATGTATTTCATGGGGGAGAAAAGCACACACACACTTTGCTGACCAAATGGGGAATAGGTCGTAGGCCAACAGGAAGAAAATTTATCAACAGATTTATGATGTGATTCCCTAGCTTTAATCCATGATCTACTTTTACCAGAGTGATCTATCAAGGCAGGATTCAGTCCGGCTTAGAAAAAGAGCTTACACAGACTGTGGCCAGATGATAAACACCACCTCCAACGAGACGCTGTGAAAAGCCACACACCATTATGAACCGCTTCTCTCTGCCTCACAAGTAAAAGCCTCGGTTACTTAACTCCGCTAAACACAAAGGAGCTGAGGGCAAGATTCTGTGCGAGTGTGCAACATCACACGCTAGAAGTGAGACGAAGCAACAGAAATGGCGCTTCAAGTGGCTGAGGCTGAGGGTGACCTCTGAGGCATACTTGAAACCCAGGAGTCATCCGCCACATAGATTTACCTTGCTCCGCAAGAACTGCGACCTGTGTGGAGCTGTCGTTCATGGAACCAAATTCTTTTGCAAAGAGGGACAAGTGCTCACCTGTGCCTGACCATTTTTTGATCGTGGCAAAAATGGCTGAAGAATCTTGCATAGAACAAGTGCATGACAGCGTGTTCCTTCCCTCCAATGTACAGGTCCACGGGCATCCAGTAATCTGCCAGCGCGGTGCTGAAAGGGCTGTGAGAAAGAGAAATGGTCGTTTTTTAAAAACCCACTTTGCCATGATTAAATAAATCAGACAGAGCCATTGTAGTCTGCATGTGCCCCAAAACAGATTATGTCAGAGAAAGACTTACTTTTTATTTTTTAAATATAGTAAGAGAAGAACTTATATACTAAAGGAAAGAAAAGATCAGTGTTAAATTAAGAAATTTATAAAAACTGTTGCAGAAGTTGCTGCTGTCAATTTAACAAATGCCGATTTTCATATAAAATGAAGACAAGAGGAAAACATGGAGGCAAAAGAAGGTATTTCAGTGGAAAAGGTATTTCAGTGGAAAAGGTATTTCTGTAAAATGCATATTTGAACACGTGGATTTATATTTTAATTTTTATTCCAATAAGGCAAATGAGATTTGTGAGTTCTTACCAGCAGGGGGCAATATGGCATTTACAAAGGAGATGAACAGGTAGACACTACATGTACATTTTAAAATAGGAATTCAATCTTATTTTTAAAAGCTGCCTTAAAACACAGATAGCCAGCGAGAGCCTGTATACGGTCTCCTGCATGCAAGGAGCATATTTAGGGTAACTATCACAAAATTGCCCCAACATCTTCCTCTGGCCTCCTCATACTCCCTGGTCCTAATGGGTGCTGGCGAGTAAAGAAAATACCATTCCCCTCTATTTTCTGGCTGGGACCCTGGAGGGGAGGCTGTGAGTATGTAGAGGTATGAGTGTGTGTGTGTGTGTGTGTGTGTGTGTGTGTGTGTGTGTGTAGGCGTGTGTGTTGTGGGAGGGGAGCAGAGCTGGCTGAGGACTCATTTATTTATCTTTGAGAGAAAGAGCTGGAGCGGGGGTGGGGCAGAGAGAGAGACAGAGAGACAAGAGAGACAGAATCAGAAGCAAGCTCTGAGACACAGAATCGACACAGGGCTCGAACCCACAAGCTGTGAGATCATGACCTGAGCCAAAGTCGGGCACTTAACCGGTTGACTGGGCCACCCAGGTGCCCTGGCTGGAGGGCTTTTAATCCCAAGGTAATGTGCTTCCTTGAGCTGATCCAATAAAGTAAACCTCTGCCTTCCGAGAATTTGTACTTTTGTACTCCGTGGTTTCAAATGTGTGAATTCTCTTCCCTAAACCTCAAAGCAATTCCCCCGCCCCTCGGCCCCCAGCATGGGCTTGGCTCAGACTGCAAGCCAGAGCCTGCAGCTCAGCAGGTAAACCTGGCCAACCGCCCGCATTTGCATCTTACTGCAGCCTGGCTTTCTCCAGTCACCATGTCAGAATTCTGGTAAAACTCAAAACAATTTTCATTCTTTGTGAATATTGGTTCCTCAGAAAAATCCAGCTGTCAATCTGCGCGCCAGAAGAGAAAGGGAGGTCAAGGGTGGGACTCCTCCTGAGCATGAGTGTGGGGTTGAAGGGAGCTCTTTCCCCATGGTTTACCCCAGAAGCCACGTAGTAAGCACTCAAGCCAGTGCTAAAACTAGCAGCTGCATTTTATGAGGCAAATGACATGCTAAAGGATATTCCCAGATTGGGGGCTGTGAAGGCCTCAGATGCATGTTTCGCCAGTCAAGGGTCTGGCATTGATGTAGAGCCTCCATCATCTGTAAGAAGGTTTTCCTTTGAAGCATTCTGAGAGATGGCCCTGGCATTCTTTTTTTTTTTTTTTTTTAATGTTTGTTTATTTTTGAGAGAGATGAACAGACAGCATGAGCAGGGGAGGCACAAAGAGAAAGGGAGACACAGAATCCAAAGCAGGCTCCAGGCTCCGAGCTGTCAGCACAGAGCCCAATGTGGGGCTCGAACACCCATTGCACTGGAAATGTATTCTTTTACGAACACTGAAGGAAAAGAGGGGCGTTCTGATATGCAGACTATGGGGTTTGAGAGCAAAGGTTCTCCTGTGGACAAGAGCAGCCTGGGAGGCCTCTGAAGCATGGTGGTTGCCATTTCCCCTGCTCCGCGATAGCCTTCTTTTGCACATTCTCTGTACTCTCTCTCCCTACATCTCACCTCAGAGAAAGTACATTTGTTCCAATCAAGACTACTTTTTGCCTCACATGGGCATAGGCATCATCCTGGGAAGGCTATAACCTCTGTAGTACTCAGCCAATGAGGGACCAGGGGAGGGGCTTGCATGCTAGGAGATAAATTGTCTGCTGTTACTGCCCCGACTGTGCCTGTCCATCAGACACCCACTCTTGCAAGAACACTGAATGCTGATTAAAGCCTCGTTCCACGGTGCTCCAAGTCTCTGTGACCCTCCTTTGATTGGGTCAGCGGGCTTATTTCTCACTAACAGACTTGGGACTTTCTACTGGATAACCTTTGCTCAGGGCTTCTTGGTGGTGGCCTGGCTAAGACTTTCTCAGAGCTACACTGTGGTCTGAGACTCTTCCAACCCAACCTTCCTCCCTTCCTCTCACTCCCTTATCGGGCATGGGGCCTGCACGGTGGTCCATAAGGGCTCTCCCCACCAGCTCCTGCTCCCCTTTCCCCCCAACCTTTCAGGTGCTGCCCCCAGTAAATCTCTTGCACATATAATTCCATCTTGGGGTCTGCTTCTTGGAAGACCCAAACTGACACATGCTCAAAGGATTTAGGAAGGCTTTACCTGTGAGCATTCTGCGGGTCAGTATATCTGAAGTAGTACCAAGCAGAATCAACAAAGGTATCCATTGTGTCCGTCTCTCTCTTGGCGGCTCCCTTGCACCTAAAAAATAAAGGAAGTTCATCAGTTGGTTTCTTTTTAAATTTTAATGCAGTTTTTCCACCGGCTTTTGAGAACGCTATGATAAGTTAGTATCAATTTAGAATGTCACAAGAACAATGCCTCATCATGGATCGGTAATTCAGAGAATACTCTCCTTTTGTATTGTTCGGTACATGATGTTTTAAAGAAATTTACAAATAAAAATTTAAAATTTTTTTTTTTTTTTATGTTTTTATTTATTTCTAGTAGAGAGAGAGAGACAGCGTGAGCAGGGGAGGGTCAGCGAGAGAGGGAGTCACAGACTGAAACAGGCTCCAGGCTCTGAGCTGGCAGTCAGCACAGAGCCCGATGCGGGGCTCGAACCCACGAACCGCGAGATCATGACCTAAGCGAAAGTCGGACGCCTAACCGACCAAGCCACCCAGGCGCCCCTACAAATAAAAATTTAAATCTTCACCAAGTAAAAGTCTTATTCTCCACTTGTCTGAATTTTACCTGGTAGAAAATCTAGCAACCTAAGAGGATAAACCAGGAGTGTCTCTTTTGCACGTTAAGTTCTATTTTTGGCATGTCCATATTGCCTTCAGCCAATGCCTAGTTTATCATACTTATGAAGAAAATCGATTTATGAAGAGAAGGTGAAAACCAAATGTAGATGTGCTGAAGAAATAACTTGGGTCTTCTCTATCTCTACCAGGGCAAGGGGCAGAAAGCGAATCCTTGGAAGAGAGGTCACCTTGGAGGCCCAAAGGCAGTGGCGTGCTGGAGCCACCCTTCACACCAGCTTGTGAGAATCAACTGTTCACACCTCTTCCCGACTCGGTGACAAGTAACGTCAAGACAGTAGCCTAAACCCAGCCCTTGGTGGAAGTAAGTACACTACAGAAATTGGCAAACACCACAAATCAGAAGCTCCCTTCCAACACGCCCCTGCCAAAGGATGGGATACAGAAGGGTGAAGACTGCCCTACTGTTCAAGAAAGCAAATGAAGTGAGATCCTTGGTGTGTGACAGGCTGAAAAGACAAAGCGATCCTCGGGATGGGGATGCCTGGGGAGGATTAAGGCTCCACAAAGGCCCAATGCCTGAACCAGTTCTGAAACCCATGCCCAGTGTGATGGGCCCACGGGACCATACAAGCCAGGTGCAAAAGACCGGCAACTTGCAGGAACCCAAGAGAGGGTGTCCTTAGTCAAGCCTAGCGTAGGAGGGTCTCAGCCCCTGCCCCCGCCGACTCCTCCAGGCCTGGGTCAGCAGTGGGTGGGTCACGCCAGTTATCACGAGCTGCAAACAGGGGCCCTTTGTGGAGAACACAGTTCTGACTCCAGGCTCTGCCTTTTGAGGATGGATGTAGGACCAGCCACCCTTTGAAATGCTGCCCTTTTGGCAGTCAGAGTCCTTGGGGGCTCTTGGAGATTTTCAGGAGGGACATGAGGAGCCCTAAGAGCATCTGATGAATCTTTTGCTAATTTCACATGCAAGGGAATAAGTCTGCTTTTAATTTAAAAATAAAAGAAGGCTTGACTTTAGATCTTGCATCTGTGAAGCAGTTCAGACTGGCTTTACAAATTGTACTGAAGGAGACAGCCGCCACCCCCTTCCCGCCAAGCTTCTGCTTATTAAATAGAAGTGGCTGAGCAGAGAGACAGGAGCCCCAGATCTGGAGGGGCTCTGGGACTCACAGGGGCCTCCCTCTGGGGACAGCGGTGGGCCCTGGGGGCGGATGTTTAGGGGAGAGACCCCTGAGGGAACCCTGTTTCCTACTGCCCGGGCTACTGTGAGACACTGAGCTCAACAGCACATCTCAAAACTAAAGCCAGGCCTTTTTAGTTGGAAAGCAACCAACCAGAACATAGACACTATGTGGGGAAATAATTACAAGACAAAAGTTCCTTCTTCTCCCACACTGTTAGTACAGGTGTATAAGTCAGGAAGAAAATGCAGGGCTCAAGTGATCAAAGGAGTCGTGACTGGCTACAACCTGCCAGGATGACTTTCTTTTTAGCGGTCATGGGGGACTGGAGGACACCAACATATTTTATTACCAACACCAAAAGCTGATTATGCAGCACAGGCTACTTGCTAAGTGGGAGGGACAGGTGATGGTGACAGTGCCAATGATATTACCATTATGAGCTCCAGCGGTACTAACGGGGTAGCAGGCAATGAGCCAAACGCTTCCCAGACATTCTCTCACTTAATCCCAGGAAGCGTGGGGATTACAAGGCAGATACCACTCATGTCCCAATTCTGCAGATGAGTAACTGAAGTCCAGAGGGGTTAAGCAATCTGCCCAAGAGTAAGGACTCCACACCTGTGGTCCTTACCACTGTGCCTCCCTGATCGGACATGCTGATTCCGTGACTGTCAGCCCTGGATGCTCATTAGAACCGTCCAGGGAGCCCTGACCAATACTGAGGCCTGGGCTCTGCCCTCCCGGAATCCACAGCCAGGGTAGGAAACCTTCTCCCCACCCGCAGGGCCCTGGGCTGCCGCAGCTGGTGCGAAGGCCACCAATGTCTCTGGCAGAGAAGCCCTTCTGTCCCTGCTTATCAATACAGAGGGTGTGCTAGCTTCTCCTGGAGCCCACGTTTTTCCCCCAGAAAGACCCAGAGCTCCCTATGTTCCTGCCCACAAGCCTTATCCTAAAACCACTTGAGGGAGGACCTGAGAGGACAGGGGTAACACTTCCATGTACCAGCTGGTAGGGTCATTGTGCAGGATTACTTGTGTTAATTCAGTCTCCTGAGCAGCCCTTCAAGGGTGGTTAGTTTCTGATAAGAAAATCAAAGCTCAGAGAGGTTCAGTACTTTCCCCAGGCCATAGAGCTAGTCAGCCAGCAGGGCCAGGACTTGAATCCATTACCGTCTAACTCCCCAGCTTGGGCCTTGCAATTGCACTATGGTTCCCTAATTCCTAACCTGGTACCTAGCTCTGGACTGGCAGAAGACTAAATTATTTTAACATCCTCATCATGATCGATAAGGCAGAAAAAAATGGCTTCTCCATAAAGTAGGAAGATGCAGAGCCAGGACTGGTCACTTACGTGGTTTAATCAGCTGGTCTGGTATCACGAAAAGCACATATGAGATAGGCCAGCGAACTAACAATAAAACAATCCTACTTCCAAAATAAGGAGGTGTTTCAGTATATTAAAGAGCAAAACCCCTGAGTGTACACACTCTCGTGGCTACCACTCTGCTGCTTATGGGAAAATTTTCACCGTCATCAAGCCACTAGGTGGGAAAACCAAGGCAGAGAAGAGAAACCATCGTCTCTCATCTCCAAGACGCCCTCTGGAATATGGAATGGACGGCAGTGGCAGTAGTTACACACAGCTACGCGTGAACACGTGCGGCTTTCCATCCACTGGGTCAGGTGTTTCTGGGAGAGATGTGAACGGACACGGCTACGTCTGCTGGCTCGAAGAGGAGAGGAGAGGGTGCTCATCCCAGCGGCTAGGCCTCAGGTCCCAGCCCCTTCTCTCAAACGTCTTGAAAGACCGAGCATCTTCTTTCCAGTCCGGTGGAAGCGCCAGAAAAAGGGAGCAGAGGGTGTGAAACTCCTGCTGGGCTCACGCCCGGCGCCAGGGCTGGGGGCTCCTTACCTCGGGCAGGCGCAGTTCACCCAGTCCGAAGCCGCGGCCAGTGGGGAGCCTCCCTTGCCGGTAAAAGACGTGATGTGGGGCAAGGTCACGGGCAAATCCTGCAGCGGCACTGGCACGGGGCCACAGGCCGGGCAGTGGACCACGGGGATGGGCGTGCCCCAGTACCGCTGTCGCGAAATCAGCCAGTCCTTCAGTTTGTTACTTGTCACCTCTCCGCCGACTCCCTTCCTCCGGGCTTTCTGAGTCAAGGCTACAAACGCATCCTGCCGGTTCATGCCTGTGAACTGCAAGGGGAAAGAGAGAAATCCTATTCTTCCCTCCACGAGGACAAGATGTCACCACCGCCCCCATGTCACCAGACTGCTATTTTTGTGTGTGGTCTGTGCGGGGCTGTGTTGTGTCTTCCTGACCCCCAGGTGCCTTTACCTTTGTGGCCCTTTCCTCCTTAGGATAATATTAAAAATTGTATTTTATGGGGCACCTGGGTGGCGCATTCGGTTAGGCATCTGACTCTTGATCTTGGCTCACGTCAGGATCTCACAGTTTGTGAGTTCAAGCTGGGCTCTGCACTGACTGCATGGTGCGTGCTTGGGATTTTGTCTCTTTTTCTCTCTGCCCTTCCCCTGCTCATGCTCTCTCTCTCAAAATAAATAAATAAACTTGAAAAAAATTTTAGGACTGTGTTGAATGAAAACAAATAAAAATTTTGAAATCATAAAAGTTAACTTTTTTCCCCCTCTGATTTTAAAAGAAATTAAAACCTTTCTGGGGACCCTAAAAGTACTGGTAGGCCCAGGCCCTGTGTCCACTGTGCCTATTGGGGACACTGGCTCTGGTTCTGCGGCTCTCCTCATCACCTGAGCCGTGAAATACTACAGAGATCATCAAATACCAGCTTTGAGTGGCCAGCAAAGAACTGCATGACACACATTTCTAACAACTAGTCCGCTGTTGGGGAAAACATAATCCAGCAGAGAAAAGGTTCAATACCCTAAAGCCGAAGTAATTCAGGCAAAGCAGGGGAATGAATTGGAGCCATAGTGGGAAGGACCATAACTGCTCCTTCTCTGTTTAAATGCTCCCATTTTATAGAGAGCATAGTGAAACACTACAAGTAGAAAAGAGAGGGGGCCCCAGGTAGCTCAGTCAGTTAAGCGTCCGACTTGGGCTCAGGTCACGATCTTGGGGTTCGTGGGTTTGAGCCCCACGTCAGGCTCTGTGCTGACAGCTCAGAGCCTGGAGCCTGCTTTGGATTCTGTGTTTCCCTCTCTCTGCCCCTCCCCTGCTTGCGTTATGTCTCTCAAAAATAAACATTAAAAAAAATTTTTTAGGGGCGCCTGGGTGGCTTAGTCGGTTAAGCGTCCAACTTTCACTTAGGTCATGATCTCACGGTTCATGGGTTCGAGCCCTGCGTCGGGCTCTGTGCTGACTGCCAGCTCAGAGCCTGGAGCCTGTTTCAGAGTCTGTGACTCCCTCTCTCTCTGACCCTCCCCTGCTCACGCTGTCTCTCTCTCTCTCTCTCCTAGAAATTAAAAAAAAAAAAATTTTTTTAAATTAAAATAAATAAATAAATAAATAAATTTTTTAAGTAGAAACTAGAATTTCTCTTTTCATATGATGCCCTTCTCAGAATGAAGTTCATGATAAGAATGGAGCCAGCATAAGTCCTAGCATCAGCCATCAGACAACAAAAGGAAATCAAAGGCATCAGAATTGGCAAAGAGCAAGTCAAACTTTCACTCTTCGCAGATGACATGATACTCTACATAGAAAACCCAACAGACTCCACCAGAAGCCTACTAGAACTGATCCAAGAATTCAGCAAAGTTGCAGGGTACAAAATCAACGTACAGAAATCGGTTGCATTTTTATACACCAACAATGAAGCAACAGAAAGAGAAATCAAGAAACTGATCCCATTCACAATTGCACAAAAAACCATAAAATACCTCGGAATAAACCTAACCAAGGATACAAGAGATCTGTATGATGAAAACTACAGAAAACTTATGAAGGAAATTGAAGAAGACACAAATAAATGGAAAAACATTCCATGCTCATGGATAGGAAGAATAAATATAGTTAAGATGTCATTACTACCTAAAGCACTCTACACATTCAATGCAATTCCAATCAAAATTGCACCAGCATACTTCTCAAAACTAGAACAAACTATCCAAAAATTTGTATGGAACCACAAAAGACCCCGAATAGCCAAAGTAATACTGAAAAATAAAACCAAAACGGGAGGTATCACCATCCCAGACTTCAGCCTCTACTACAAAGCTGTCATCCTCAAGACAGTATGGTATTGGCACAAAAACAGACACATAGACCAATGGAACAGAATTGAGAACTCAGAAGTGGACCCAAAAGTATACAGCCAACTGATCTTTGACAAAGCAGGAAAGAATATCCAATGGAAAAAAGACAGCCTTTTTAACAGATGGTGTTGGGAGAACTGGACAGCAACATGCAGAAGAATGAAACTAGATCATTTTCTCACACCATGCACAAAAATCAACTCAAAATGGATAAAGGACCTGAACGTGAGACAGGAAACTATCAACACCCTAGAGGAGAAAGCAGGAAACAACCTCCTTGACCTCCACCGCAGCAACTTCTTACTTGACACATCCCCAAAAGCAAGGGAATCAAGAGCAAAAATAAACTGTTGGGACCTCATCAAGATTAAAAGCTTCTGCACAGCCAAGGAAACAACCCAGAAAATTAATAGGCAACCAACGGAATGGGAAAAGATAGTTGCAAATGACATATCAGATAAAGGGTTAATATCCAGAATCTATAAGGAACTCACCAAACTACACGCCCGAAAAACAAACAACCCAGTGAAGAAATGGGCAGAAGACATGAACAGACACTTCTCCAAAGAGGACATCCAGATGGCCAACAGACACATGAAACGATGCTCAGCATCCCTCCTCATCAGGGAAATACAAATCAAAACCACACTGAGATACCACCTCACGCCAGTCAGAGTGGCTAAAATGAGCAAATCAGAGAACTCTAGATGCTGGCGAGGATGTGGAGAAACGGGCACCCTCCTACACTGTTGGTGGGAATGTAAACTGGTACAGCCCCTCTGGAAAACAGTGTGGAGGTTCCTCAGGAAACTAACAATAGAACTCCCCTATGACCCAGCAATAGCACTGCTAGGAATTTACCCAAGGGATACAGAAATGCTGAGGCATAGGAGCACATGTACCCCAATGTTCATAGCAGCACTCTCCACAATAGCTAAAACATGGAAAGAGCCTAAGTGTCCATCAACAGATGAATGGATCAAGAAGATGTGGTTTATCTATACCATGGAATACTACATGGCAATGAGAAACAATGAAATCTGGCCATGTGTAGCAACATGGATGGACCTTGAGGGTGTTATGCTGAGCGAAATAAGTCAGGCAGAGAAGGACAAATACCATATGTTTGCACGTATAGGAGGATTAGGAGGAACTTGACGGAGGAACAAGGGGGAGAAGAAGGGGGGAAATGGTAGGGGAAAGGGAGAGAAGCAAACCATGAGAGACTCTTGAATGATGCCAAAAACTGAGGACTGATGGATGTGAGGGGGAGGGGGGATGGGCAAGGAGGAGGGCACTTGTGGGGATGAGCACTGGGTGTTATGTGGAAACTAATTTGACAATAAACTATTAGAAAAAAAAAAAACTACTCAAAAAAAAAAAAAAGAACGGAGCCAGCATAGAATGCCAATGGGGGGCTCGTGGGTACTCTGGAATTGGTTCACTGAAGACAGGCCGCATACCTACTATGTGCCAGGCCTCTGTTAGGCATTGGGGGCACAAAGGTAAATATGCTCTGTCCCTTCCCCACAAGGATTACGGTCATGAGGCGTACAGAAATCAGTCCAGCGGTGTTCATCAAAAGCAGCTCCTTCCTTGGGGTCTGCAGGGTTTCCCGAAGTACACACGGTGTTCCCTACCATGGGAATGCCCACACTCCAGAAGGTGTCTTCCATATTCCACACTCCCGCCATCGTACAATAATGGGGTAAATGATTATAAGCTCTCTTGAAAGTCTACTTTCTCCACGTGTCACTGTCTTTACCTTCCAGAAGCTCATGGATGACAGGTGCCTCTTACCACCTGTTCTCCCTCCACCCACTGGAAAGAATTTATTATCCTAGATATTTAGTCTAGAGCCAGGAGAGGGCTCAGTGGACTGCCTGAAGCTATCTGAAGAAGCCAGCGAGCATAATTAACGTCAGTCCCATACTAAGGGGCAGGTATCTCTCTGGACACTTCAGAAGCCTAGTTCTGACCATGAGTGCCCCCTTTCTTGCCCTGCAGAGAGATATCAAGGGCTCCCCTACAGGCACCTTGGTTTGGTTCTGCTCCGTCTCCAGCTCCAACACAGTCTAAGAGAAGGTTTAAAGTTCCGTATCTTAGAGCATGACTCACGTCTGGGGATACCATTTATGAAGTGAAGACACAAACGTGAAAGTCAGAAAATGTCACCCATATAAGGAAAAAACTTGGCCAGACTCTTATTCTTCTTATGTATCTATCTGTATACATACCTACAAAATATCCCATAGCCAGGTAATCCCAAACCTGAAAATCTTGGACCTCCAGGTCTAATTGAATCAGGATCACCCCAGCTGGGGCCAGCAAGCATCTCCTGGGTGATTCAGAAACACGGCCAGGTAGGCACTCACGAGGTGAAACTGGCAGTTTCCAGAGTCAGCTGCACATGAGAATCACGTGGGGAGCACCGAACACGCCTGATGATCTATCCATGCCTCCCACCCTGTAACCATCAGACCAGAATTTCTGGGGTAGCACTCAAGCCATCAGTGGTTTAAAAAACTTCCCAGGTATTTCCAATGGGCAGCCAAGTTTAAGAAACAGTGCTCTAAACCGGAAGAGTCAAACCTTAATAAGCACACAAATCTCATGCGGGATCTTATTAGACTCAGAGGGCTCTAAGAGTCTCCACCACTAGCAAGTGATGCCTGTGTGGCCAGCCGGTACAAGGACCACACTTTGAGTAGCAAGGTTCTGGGCCAGTGATCCTCAAAATATGGATCCTGCATTAGTAGCAGCAGCAGCATCTGAAACTTGTTAGAAATGCAAATTCTTGGGTTCTACCTGGGACCACTGAATCACAATCTGCCAGGCACCCTGTGTTTGAACAAGGCACTAGTCGTTCTGGGGTGCGCTCAAGTTTTAGAAGCACCATCTCCGCTCTTTCCCACTCGCCCCTCACCCTACCTCTTCCATCATACTCCCTGGCCTGGGGCAACTGCAAGGCTGAGGTCAAATCCTGCCAGACCTACCGCCTGACAAGAGATAACCTGGACCAAATTAATAAACGTGGTTCAGCTTCAGTGTTCATTTCCATAGATAAGCTCAACTTTAGGTAGAAACAAGTCAATAATCTGGGGAGAACAGAGATCTCTGGGAAGAACAGCCAATTTCAGTCACTCTCCCAAGGAATTAGTTTCCCTGGAAGGAGGAGTTTTTTTCCAGCAGGAGATTCCCCCAAATAGAGTGACTACGATAACCATGAGCCTAGGATTGGGCTTAACTTAGAGATGATAAATTTCTAGGTCTTGAAAAAAAAAAAAGAATATTATTTTGTTTTCACAGATTAAGAAACAGGGCTGCAAGACTGTCAGGTATAGGATGAGTGAAATGGTAGGTTGTAATCTGCACCTGAAGGAAAACAGCTCATCAAGTCCATGCCAAGGTCATGATCTAAGGAAAACAGCTCAAGTTCATGCCAAGGTCATGATGCGGGGAAAACAGCTCATCAAGTACATGCCATGGTCATGATCTGAGGAAAACAGCTCAAGTTCATGCCAAGGTCATGATCTGAGGAAAACAGCTCATCAAGTCCATGCCAAGGTCATGATGTGAGGAAAACAGCTCATCAAGTCCATGCCAAGGTCATGATCTGAGGAAAACAGCTCAAGTTCATGCCAAGGTTATGACCTGAGGAAAACAGCTCATCAAGCCTATGCCAAGGTCATGATTGGAGATGCTGTGATGCCCACACCATGGGGAACCCACCTCAGCAGAGCCGCGGAGTCTCTCTGTGCCATCCGGCAAAGTCTCAATGACGTGGGAGTAGGGTAGGCCTAGGGTTTGGGCTAAGCTGGCGTCCTCCGGGCTGGTGCTGGGAATTCCTATTCAGGGGAGAAGAAGCACAGGACACCTTCTTTGCAAATACTCAAGTCACAGAAGTATTGACAGCTCTGACACACTCGGCTTTAGCTCCCTCTTTTGGCTACAGAAGTTATAAAGCCACAGCGCATTCCTCGGGAAAATGGAGCACAGTCTTGGAGAAACCCACCACCCTAATACAGCCAGTTTACTAGGCTGGCTCTTTTTCCTTTAAGTCTTTATCCTGTGCTTCATTTCTTAAAAAAAAAAAAGAGTTGTAATTCTAAAATACACAACTTGGGGTGTTTTGTGTCATTGAGATAGGGAAGCGCAGGCATCTGGAGAAGCTTCTTGTCTGAATTCCCTCGGTGACTGAGGACAGCGGCATTCTCTCGAGATGCAGGGCTACCTCTCCCAGCATTTCCCGGCACTCTGGAAAAATCTACATGGTCCAGAAGTGGAAAGCTGGTGACTGTCTTTCTGCACACTGCGCTTTGTTCCCAAAGGCAATGGTGCATTCATCCCGGGCAGAAATTTATTCTTCAGCCCACATATGCCCTCGAGATGGAGTCGAGCATAAGTAAATGACCAAGGGCCGAGGGCCAAGGCCTGCTGTGTCGGCTTCGGCTACCCATAAACATGAGCCTCGTCACGTGGCCGCCGAGAGAGAAAACTACGGGCAACGCACACGGTGCTTTCAGTCAGCCTTCCACGGGCATCCTCCCTGGGACGCCACCCTACACAGGTGATTTAAGGTTCGGGAGACAGGTCCTAAAGTTCCCTGGCAGGATGGAATGCTCCGTGGAGTGATGGAAAGTTCCGTGCCGTGCTGGCTGAGGTTACTGACCAAAAGCACCTAAGGAGGCAGATAAATGTTCCGAGTGGACTCGAAGGATGTGAAGGGGTGAGGATAAACGGCAAGCAATAAATATTACTGGGAAGCGTTCATGGTCAAGAAGGGAAAAGGGTCATTTATTAGCTTCCCAAAACGTATGGTGTTTTGGAAACATTTGGAGAAATGTTTGAAAGGAGACACTGTGGCCAAAAAATTTATTTGACCACATAAAGAATGCTCTGGACCACAGGATGGGTTATGTGGTGCTCAGCAGGATGTGAACTATTTGTTGTTGTTGTTGTTTTCATCTATATTTTTGAAAGAGAGAAAGACAGAGTCCAAGCAGGGGAGGAACAGAGAGAGAGGGAGACAAAGAATCTGAAGCAGGCTCCAGGGTCTGAGCTGTCAGCACAGAGCCCGACGTGGGGCTTGAACTCACAAACTACGAGTTCAGGACCGGAGCCAAAGTTGGATGCTTAAACAACTGAGCCACCCAGGTGCCCTGGATGAACTATTTGTAAAGTGCAGGTGAAAGGGCAAAAATACTGCTTTCTCTATTTTTTTTATTTCTATTTTTCTTCTTAGAAGGCAAGAAGCAGAACGTAGAAAATGTTAATAATGGAACTGGGAAATCAAGACAACAGGAAAAATTATTTACATGCACATCCAAAAAAAATCAGATTTTTTTTCTTTCAGGATTTTCAATATGTACCAGTAATTTGACTCAAAATACACCCCTCCCTACCCCCTCCCAAAAAAACCAAAACCCCCATCAGTAAAAGAAGCTTTTACTCTGTATCTTGGCTGGTTGTTATTAGTGAATCTTACTAATTACAAAATATGTAAAAGTAATAGAAGGAATTATTTCCCTTAAGCAACACACTTTCTAGGTTCCAATGGTCCGAAGGGAATGGCCTGAATGGCTTAATATCCATTTTCTGTTTGGATGTTTCTTCAAATCATTTTGTCAAAAACTGATCTGGGAACCGGGAGGGAAAACACGAATTTTGATGAGAAGTGCTATTTCTTCTGGGTGCCAGGAAATTGAGAGTGTGTAAGTTAACGTTCTCTGCAGGTTTCTGACACTTTGAGGCTGGCTGGGGTCTGCAGTGGGAATCTGGAAGAGGGGCGCTCGGGTTCATCCGAAGGGCAGATTTCGCACGGGCTGTTGTTAGTTCTAAGCCTTCGGTTTGCCCCCGAGCCCTGCCAGGTGACGACATATGAGAACTCCTAGGGGTGACCGAGGCCTCAGAGGATACCCAATGCACAGTTCTAAATGCACCTCCAACCCTATTGTTGTGTCACGATCTCTTACCTGGAGGGCTCAAGTTCACCTCCTCCGCAGACCTCTGCCAAAACCCAACCCAATCCATCACTCGAGCTCAGAAACCCCATCTCCGCAGTTGCTTGGATCTATGAGCTCCGAAATTAGATTTCATGTGAGTTGTACTAGTCCCCATACCATACATACGAGTTTCACCAACGAGCTCTACTGGCCAGATACTTTTTTTATTCTCAGTAGTAACTAGCAAGCTGAGGGATACTGGGTATGTTTTCAAAATGCAGTTATTAAATAAGGGATGTTTAACTGAAGGAGCATATCATTTTTTTTCCAGAGGCAAAACAGACCATAGAGTCAGCAGGGAGCAATTCCAGTTGACGGCAACAGGCTGGTATTTTGATCTAGAGCCTGCAAAGTATATTATCCTGATTATATTTGAATAGCTACTTACCTATTTTGGAATCCAGAGAGCCCTCAAAGTCAGCGTTGGCCAAGATAACGACAGGGGCCTCCCGCTGGGTGAGCATGTTCACGGCCATCACGGGTGTGAGGCAGTCTGAAAATGAGAGCGAGGGACAGCTGGGTACTCACACCATGAGTCTCAGAGGAGACAAGTGAGAAAAATAAGCACTGGGGTTTCTGTGTTTTGTGCTAATTGTTTAAAAAATCTGTCCTTTGAAAGTATTAGTGGATAATTCACACCAGTAGAAAGAAAGTCAAAAGATTAAGCAAATACACAAAAATGCTCATCTATGCTCACAACCAAAGAAGTGAAATGGTGTTTTTACTTTCCAGATGGTAAAAGATGTTCCCGCCACCCCTTTTTCCTTCAGAAAAATACCTCTGTCAGTGGCTCAGTCAGTTAAGTGGCTTACTCTTGATTTTTGGCTCAGGTCATGATCTCGTGGTTTGTGGCTTTGAGCCCCCTCTCTCCCTTTCTCTCTCTGCCCCTCCACTGCTCACGCTCTCTCTCAAAAATAAATAAACATTTAAAAAAATACCTCAAATATACAGAAGAACAAGCAACACAAAAGCTACAATGACTAGGAGCTGTCTGGAATTCCAAATCCTAACACCTGAAAATGGAAGTAGATAGGAGAGTGGAGAGTAACTAAGCAGAGAGCAGGAGCGATCTGGACACACAAAGGCAGAACAGTTCTCCCACCTACCCTTTCTTAGGAGACAGTGGAGGATGTATTCCAGCAAAACAAAGGGGTAAATTAAGAAAGAAACAGAAATGGGATCTAGAAAACTGAGGATCCAACAAAGGAAAGAGGGTCAAGACACTCTCAGAACAAAGACAGAAGGAAGCCCTAGGCAGCAGAGGCCTAGAGAGTGACCACGTCAGGCCTGAGCAGGACAGAGGGCCCACAAAGCATCTTTCGGGGGGAAAAAAAGGGATCAATACATTATCTGACAGGTTGGAATATGGAGAAAACTTGTATTGAGAGGAGTTTTAAAGAGCCCCTGGGAGGGTGTGGGAAGACTTAGAAATTCGAAGAACACAAAGCAAATGAAAAAAAAAAAAAGATATCATTAACTTCAGACAAAACAGAAAGTATTACCAAAAGGAAAATGTAATCATAGTGCTTGGCTCAGTTGTGAACGACATTTATGTGGTTATAATAAAACACTTAATTTGGAGTTATCCAAACAGTATGTCATCTTAAATGAAGCTTGTTACAACCACCATAGCATGGAGAAAAGCCATTAATAGATGAATCTTCACTGACAATATATGGGAATGGAAGCATGAAGACACAAACACAGTCCCAAAGGAAGAAGGGATGAAAAGCGGTAAACAATTAGCGAGTTCACTTGAGCTTAGTGCAACACAAGCAACTGACAACAGTTATAATTTGTGAACTCTTACTATCTGTATTTGCCATGTTTTAAGACTTTATATAATTATCTAAAATGTTTTACAAACCCCAAAGTTAGACCATGCCCAGGAAGCAAGCTTAATTCTTTTCCTTTCTCTTTCTTTCTTTAAAATTTTTAATGTTTACTAATTTTTGAGAGACAGAGTGTGAGCGGGAGAGGTGTAGACAGAGAGGGAGACACAGAATCCGAAGCAGGCAACAGGTTCCAAGCTGTGAGCAAAGAGCCCAATGTGGGGCTCAAACTCACAGACTTCGACATCATGACCTGTGTCAAAGTCAGATGCTTAACCAACTGAGTCACTCAGGTACCCCTCTTTTCTTTTTTTAATGTTTATTTTATTTTAGGGAAGAGTGTGTGTGTGTGTGTGTGTGTGAGAGAGAGAGAAAGAGAGAGAGAGAGAGAGAGAGAGCAAGCGCACACTGGGGAGGGGAGGAGCAGAGAGAGAGTAGGGGACAGAAGATCTGAAGTGGGCTCTGTGCTGACAGCAGACAGCCCGATGTAGGGCTTGAATTCCCAAACCACGAGATCATGATCTGAGCAGGAATGAAGAGTCAGATGCTTAAATGACTAAGCCACCCAGGCACCCCTAGATTTATTCTTTTCAAAGAGGGAAAGATAGGCTCCGGAGGCATCTAAGCCAGATCTTCTCTTCTTTCACCTTGGCGGCGGGGGCTGGGGGGGATCAGGAAGCAAAGGATGGACTAAGGTGGAAACAGAGTGACACACAACCCAAACAGGTCTCCAGGGCGCCCACGGCTGGGAGCCACCTGTGCCTGAGCTGCCTACGTGCTGACATCTGTCGAAGGGGAGACCGTATTTCTGCTGCCGTTCTGCCCCTCATCAAAGAAGGCGTGTGCACACGTGAAGTCTGCAATTATGATTAAATGTGATGAGGAAGACGGGAGATGAGGGGAGGCAGTGCAAGAGTAAAAGTCTCAGGGTAACGTCGAGAACTGGCGAGCTGGGGGTGGGGGGGGTGCAGGGGAGGCGTATTTACCCAAACACAAGGAGGTCTGCCCCAGAGAAACAGTTGTGGCACAGGCTGACCCCAGACCTGCCTCTCCTTCCGATTCCACAATGGAACACTTAGCTGGACACACAGCGGCACAGCTCATGACAGCACAGCTCAGCCTCCCTTGCACGTGGCCATGGGGTACGTGCAGAAGCGACTTCTAGGTCATACTCTCAGAGGAAGGAGCACACCCTTCTTTCCCCGCTTCCTACTTAAAGCAATGCAGACGAAGTGCACAACATCTCAGAACACACGGGGGAGGGCAAGACCTTCGAAGGGCAGAGTGGGGTGGCAGAAAGAGCCTTGGCCGTGACTGACTCATAAAGCAGACTTCTTATACTTGCTCTCAGATTCATGTGGGCAAGAAATAAACTGCTGTCTTTTTAAGTCACTATGTTTTCAGGGCTCTGTCACAGCCACCGAACTCATATCCTAAGGAACACATACCTAAAATTATTCAACGTGGCCAGGGATGGAAGCTTCTGCTATTGCTAATAGTCTTTGACTGGTTTTTTGTGTGATATACGTATATTAATGGGATCTTACAAAACACAAATTAATTTGTAAAAAGAAGGATGGAGGGGAGCCGGGGTGGCTCAGTCAGTTAAGCATCTGACTCTTGATTTGGGCTCACATCATAATCTCACAGTTGTGAGATTTAGCCCTGTGTCAGGCTCGGCATTGGGTGTGGAGTCTGCTTGAGATTCTCTCTCTCCCTCTCTCTCTGCCCCTTCCCGCGCATGAATGCACTCTTTCTCTCTCTCTCTCAAAAGAAAAAAAAAAAAAAAGAATTGCGAAGCCTGCTTAAAAACAAAAAACCCTACTTTCTGAAATCATATTACATGAATTATCGCTTCTCGGCCTTTTGGCTAAGATCAAGTGAAATCATATTACATGAAGACCAAAATATAAAGACAAAAGCAATCTGATCTTTAAGATACATTTCTGTGAGAATGAAGGTGGACCCTTACTTTTGCCGTATATACAAATCAGCTCAAAAATGGACTAAAGACTTACACGTAAGATAGGAAGTGAAAAGACAACCCACGGAACTGGAGAACATCTCTGTAAATCATATATCTGATAAGGGACTTGTATCTAGAACATGTAAAGAACTGTTAAAAATTCAACAACAGAAAGACAACTCAATTAAAAATGGGCAGAGGATCTGAATAGACATTTCTCCAAAGAAGATATGCAAATGGGGGCACACCTGGGTGGCTCAGCTGGTTGAGTATCAGACGCTTGATTTTGGCTTAGGTCTCGATCCAGGGTCATGGGTTCCAGCCCCGCATCAGGCTCTGTGGTGAGCATGGAGCCCGCTTGGGATTTTCTCCCTCCCCCTCTATCTCTTCCCCTCTCTCTCCCTCTCTCTCTCTCTCCCACACACACACTTGTACATGCTCTCTCAAAAAAAAAAAAAAAAAAAAAAAAAACATTAAAAAAGAGGACACACAAATGGTCAAAAAGCACATGCGAAGACGTTCAGCACCATTAGCATCAGGTAAATGCAAATCAAAACCACAGTGAGACACGCCTACCCACTAGGATCATCATAATCAAAACAACAGACAATAACAAGTGCTGACGAAGCTGTGGAGAAACTGGAGCCCTCATACACTGCTGGCCGGGCTGTACCAGTGCAGCCGTTGCGGGACACGGTCTGACACCTCCTCGACTAGTGGGACACAGAACTACTGTATGACCCAGTACTTCCACTCCGGGACACATATGTAAGGAAATGAAAACACACGTCCACACGGAAATCTGTACTTGTGCGCACAGCAACATCATTCACAGCGGCTACGACGTGGGACCAAAATGTCCATCAACTGATGAATGGAGAAGTAAAATGTGTAATATTATCCTGAAATAAAAAGGAATGAAGTATGGACACAGGCTACGACACGCATGAGCTTGAAAACGCTACGCTAAGTGAAAAGAAGCCAGTCACAAAAGGACAAATGCCGTATGATTCCATTTACACAAAATGTCCGGAATCGGCACAGTTATGAAGAAAGCAGACTAGTGGCTGCCCAGGGCTGTAGGACTGAGGTAGCTGCTACAGGGCATGGGAGCTCTCTGGGCTGATGAAAATGTTCTAACCCTGACTGACGGTTGTATAATTCTGTGGAGATACTAACAACCATTGAATTGCTCACTTTAAGGGTGAAACATTAAAAAAGTGGGGGGGAGGGAGTGCCTGGGTAGCTCTGTCAGTTAAGCGTCCGACTTCAGCTCAGGTCATGATCTCAAGGTATGTGAGTTTGAGCCCCACACTGGGCTCTGCGCTGACAGTGCAGAGCCTGGAGCCTGCTTCAGATTCTGTGTCTCCCTCTCTCTCTGCCTCTCCCCCGCTCACTCTCTGTGTCTCTCAAAAATAAACATTAAAAAAATTAAATTAAGGGTGAATTTTATGGTGTGTGTTATATCTCAACCAGGAAAAACAAATCAGTCTATGGACTTAAAAATTAGCAGCTCTGTAACGAATATAGACCAGCAACTTGCATGTGGTACCCGGTCAAAATCTATTAAAAAAAAAAAATTCAATAAAATCTGAAGTTCTTGACCAGGTCTAGAGCTCTCCATATTTCTCCTTGGTCAGGTGCTGGCAGCACGAAGCAGGAAGCAAGGAAGCCATGGAGAAACCCCAAGTACCT